ATTTGTATGATCTTTACAGCAGTAGTAACTGTGCAAATGAGCTAATAACATATGACTCTAAAGAAAAACCCAAAACGAGTAGTACATTGTTTTATTGGACAACATCATTGTACACTACAGAATATGAGAGCTGCTTATATTAGCCCTAGAAATTTCATCTTTAGCCTGGATGTATACATGTCTTTATGAATTATAAGATTTAATAAATTTTGAAAGTTACTCCTTATTTTTTTAAGTTCAAAGATTGGAAATAAATCCACAACAAGAAAATACATTTATTTTCTTTTTTTTGTTGGTCAACTTTGTAGATTTTTAATTTTTGCAAGATAAAGAGTAACATTTTCACAAGAATGTTTTATAAATTACATTTCTGAAAGTTCAGTGAAAAGTCTTATACTAAGCAATTGAAAAACCAGGTGAAATTAAGCAGGTAAAAAGATCAAATATATAATTACATGGAAAACAAAACGGTAAATAAACTAGATTTTTCTGTTGCCTGTGTCTGAATGCTTTAAAAGTATTCCTAAAGATACTATACAACTATAAAAAACGCGGCTTTTTACCAGGTCCAAGCCCACCAAAGCAATAGTGCATCACTCAGTCAAAGAAGACTATGTTCCATTTACTGGAGCAACGACAATGTGTAATTTTCTAAATATGACCAGTGACCTCAAGTTGTTCTTATATTCCCACTAAAATTACCATATTAGTAAATTGTTTACCTCAAAGTAGATTATTTGTAATTTCATTTGAATTTATTCTCTTAGATAACTTCAAGGAAAAAAGAATAACAGGAAAAGTTTAAATGCAGGCGATTCCATATTTATTTCCTGCTCTTAAAATAGGAAATAGAGAAAATCAACAAGCCAAAAGATGATCCTTGAAAAGATCAGTAATATCAATAAGCCTCTAGCTAAGCTAAGAAAAAAAGACAGAAGGCAAAAATTACTAAAATCAGAAGTGAGAGAGGGGATATAATTACAGACCTCATGGAAACTAAAGGGTGATAAATATGAACAACTCTAGGCCCACATATTTGATAAGCTAAATAAAATGAACCAACTCCTTGGAGAACGTAATCTGCCAAAACTCACTCAAGAAAAAATAAACAATCTGACTAGGCCTACATTTATCAAAGAAGTTGAATCAGTAACCAATAACCTTCCAAAACAGAAACCACAGTGCCCAGATGGGTTCACTGGTGAATTCTACCAAACATCTAAGGAGAAAATTATGCAAATTCTCTACACTGTTAATCAGAAGATAAAAGTATAAAGAATAGTTCCTGATTCATTCCATGAGATCAGCATTTTACCCTAATACCAAAATCAGACAGATACATTTAAAAAACTAAAACCGCAGATTGATAACTTTCATAAACACATACACAAAACTCTTTAAATTAAATAGCAAATAAAATCCCACAATATATGAAAAGAAGTATAACACAGCATGATCAGGTGTGATTTACCCCAGGTTCAACATTTGAAAATAGATTATTATCACTCATCACATCAACAGGCTAAAGAAGAAAAATCACGATTATAGACTATATAAATAGATGCAGAAAAAGCATTTGACAATATCCAATAGCCAACCATGATAAACAAACAAACAAACAAACAAAGAAAAAAAAACCTGTTATCAAACAAGCAATAGGAAAATTTCCTCAAATTAAGTTTTTTAAAAAATCTACAAGAAACCTACAGCTAACATTAGGCTTAATAGTTAGAAACTCAGATTTTTCTCAGTAAGATCAGAAACAAGGCAAGGATGTCCCTTTTCACCACTGGAAAGGAAATAATAGATACGTAGGTTAGGAAGGAAGAAATAAAATTGTCTCTGTCACAGATATATGAAGATATATGATTGTATATTCACAAAATCCCAAATAGTCTACAAAAAATTTCTGGAACTAGTAATTATAGCAATGTGCAGGAAATCAAGTTAATATACAAAATCATCTGCTTTCCTATACACAGCAATTAACAAGTGGCATTTGAAATTAAAACCAAATAACCATTTATATTAGCACCCCAAAATAAAATACTTAGTAAAAATCTAATAAAATGTGTCTAACAAGATTTACATGAGGCAAACTATAAACTTTGAGAAATATATCAAAGAGAAACTAAATAAACAGATATTCTCTGTTCCTGAATAGAAAGGCTCAATATTATCAAGATGTCAATTCTTAACTTGAACTACAGATCCAACACAATCCCTATCAAAATCTCAGAAAGTTGTTTTGTCAATATTTACAAACTGATTCTAAAGTTTATATGGAGAAACAAAAGACCCAGAAAAACCAACTCAATATTGAAGGGAAAAAACAAAGTTAGAAGATGGACACTACCTAACTTTGAGACCTATTATAAAGCTACGGTAATCAGAGATAATGATTGACATTGGCAAATGAATAAGCAAATAGGTAAATGGAATGGAAAAGAACACCTAGAAATAGACCCACATACATATAGTCAAGTGATTTTTGACAAATGAGCAGTGGCAATACAATAGAACAAAGATAGTCTTTTCAAGAAATGGTGCTGGAAAAACTGGACAACTACATGCAAAAACAAAACCAAACAAAACCAATCTAGACACTGATCTTACACTCTTCACAAAAATTAACTCAAAATAGATCATAGATCCAAATGTAAATTTTAAAACTATAAGTTGCCTAGAAGATGACAGAAGAGAAAACCTAGATAACCTTAGGTATAATGCTAAATTTTTAGATACAACACCAATAGATACATCAGACTTTATTAAAATTCAGAACCTCTGCCCTGAAAAAGACTATGTTAAAAGAATTGAAAGCTAAGCCACAAACTGTGAGAAAGTATTTGTAAAAGACATATCTGATAGAAGATTATTATTCAAAATATGTAAATAATACTTAAAATTTAACAATAAGAAAATAACCCAATTAAGACACGGACCGAAGACCTGAACATACACCTCACCAAAAAAGATACACAGATGGAAAATAAGCATATGAAAAGATGCTCCATATCATCTGTCATCAGGAAATGCACATTAAGACAACCAGATACCACTACACACCTATCAGAATGGCCAAAATCGAAATCACTGACAACACTAAATGTTAGCAAAGATTTGGAACAACAGGAACTCTCAATCATTGGTGATGGGAATGTAAAATGATATAGCCATTTTGGAAGAGTTTTGCAGTTTCTTACAAACCAAACATACACTTTCCCTATGTTCCAGCAATTGTGTTCCTTGGTCTTTGCCCATATGAATTGAAAGTCATGTTCACTCAGATAGTGGTACAATTATTAAAACATCTATTATATAGTTATAATTTGATTATCCCATTTTGGTGGGTATATATTTATATACCTATTGACATACTTATAAAATTAAGACAAGAAAAATTTAGAACAAAGGGATCTCTGATCAGAGGTTATGGTAGGTTTTCCTGGTGCTTTAATAAATACCAGTGTTCAAAATGAAACATATCAAGCCAGGCGTGGTGATTCATGCCTGTAATCTCAGCACTTTGGGAGACTGAGGCAAGTGGATCACTTGAGGTCAGGAATTCAAGACCAGTTTTCACCATTTCATTATCAATTGATCAATAGTAATATTTTTCTCCAGTTAAGAATACATATTGTTTATTTTTATATGGTGAACTAATTGTTACATTAAAATGAAAAATTATTACTTTATTACAATTGCTGTCAATACTGCAAGTAACATTTTTTTCCCAGATTTCATGAATAATAGTCTAAAGTCCTATAGAAAACAAAGGGCAAAATGTAGAAAAGCTATGAAAGAATTATCTGTCTTTTAAGTTTAACTTAAATGATCCTTCAAGAACTTTTAACTGTTTTCCCATCTAGATGCAATCACTTCCACCTCTGAACATTCAGAGACTGTTCTTATCTCTCTTACCTGTCTTATTTTTTTTTTAATCATTTAGTTATCTTCTTGTTACCTTTAATCTATTAGTACTAAATCATACATTGCCTTATAATACACAGAAAGGTACAGAGGCCCTAGTAGTCCCATCCTGTAGACAAGAAAACTGAGACCAAAGCCTCAAGGAAATCTTACTCACAAAATTAGTTAGATATTTAAACATTTAGGAGCATTTAATATATATGGCTTCCTACATAAGCTAAAGTATAATATTTCATAGATTTTGATATATCTTCTTAAATGTTCATACCTAAATGATGATCAAACCATTTTTTCTCAGTGTCCTGAGTATTTTACTGTTAAATTGTCTCATTTTCATTTCAGGGACTAAATAACAGAAATCTAATTTTTAAAAATATTATAGCTGAAAATCACTTTAAGCTTTCATAAAAGTTGCAAAAATAAGGAAAAATATGTAGTCTTACCGAGATTCACCCATTGTTAATATTTGCCCTATTTGCATCATTTGTCTCTTTCTTTATATAGGTATGTTTGTTTTTATGTCTATATACATATTTTTTATCCCTAAATAGTAAATGTTTTGGTACATATTTGTAAACAAGGGCATCCTCTTGCAGAATCACAATTTCATTATCAACTTCAGAAAATTTAACATTACTATAATATTTTCATTTAATCTATCAAAAATATTCACATTTTATGAATGATCTTAATTTTGTTCTTTATAACACTGTTGTTTTTCCTCCTATAAAGGATCCAGTCGAGGATTATATATTGCATTTGGTTGCCTTGTCTTTTTAGTCCCCATCAATCTGGAACATTTCCTCCTCCATTCTTTTTCTATCATGATATTGACATTTTTGAAGAATATGGGGGTTTATGCATCTTTTTTGTTTCCTTAATATAATATTTCACATTTTGAGTTTGTCTGGTATTTGCTTATGATTAAATGCAGGTTATATAAACATGTATATATGTGGGAAGGCTAATACATAAGAGACGCTGTATGCTTTGTAGGCTGTCACATGCAGAAACAAATTTCACTTGCTTTCATTAACAATCACCTGGTTCAAGTGCCGTCCAGCTTCCCCAGTCTAGAGTTACTATTTTTTCTTTTCCAACTTATTGGCAATCTGTAGGAGGACACTTTAAGCCATGCTCCACATCAAAATTTCCTACAGATTTATCATCCACTGATGATCCTTACTCTTGACTAACCTTTATTATGGTGGTTGCAAAGTGATGATTTTCCAACTCTAGTACGATTTACACTTTTATCAATTGACATTCTACTGTAAGGGAAAGCCCTTTATTCTTCCACAGTTACATTTTTATTCAATTATTTATCCATCTATTCGCCATCTCTTTAATACTAATATAGACTCATGAATTCTGTTAACAATTTATTATTCATTGCTATTCTTTATTGTTTGGAGATTAGATTACCTCAGATTTTACAGTGAGAGCTCCTTCAAGATGTCTCCTGTGACCTTTTGATAAACTCCTATAACTTTTTAAACTTTTATTATCTGACATCAAAAGTTTCTCCAGGCTTATCTTGGACTCTTGTTGCCCCAGTTCTGTAATCAGCCATTTCTTGGAGGAGTCCTGGGTCCTTTCACTGGGGAATGGTATTTAAAAAAAAAAAAAAAAAAAAGATTCAGGGCATTAAATGTGCTCATTATTCTTGGGTATCAGAGCTTGAATATCTGTTTACTAAGAGGGCCTAGAAGCATATATGCATGCATTTGTGTGTGTGTGAGTATACATATATGTGTGTGTGTGTATACATACAGATATACATATTTATATACATGTAAAAACAAACATACACATATGTATCAGAAATCATGACTCCTTACTGATAACATTAATTCTAATCTGTCTCATGGGGTTTTCCGTTGCCTTCCTAAATTCTATATTTGTATCTCTCTTTTTCCAAAAATACACAAAGAATTTCAGAATTGTTCCACCAATACCACCAAAATAAGAAAACTACTCCTAGAAGTTTTTTGTACACTTTTCTCTTACCTTATAGGAACAAAGGGGCAGGCAGTGAAATCCAAAGTCACAAGAATTAAGCTTTTTTCCCCCCTTTTTCTATTTCCCCTTTCAATTTGCTAATGCTATTCATTTGAAAACAATTGTGTTCATTGGTTTATATTTGTTTCAGTTTTAGCTTTTTGATTACTTCCTATCTCTTTAAATTTTTTAAATATATAGACATTAACCTCCATCTAAAAGTCAAAACAATGCAGAAAGGTATACACAGAGAAGTATCACGAGCTCCCCTGTTCCTCCTGCTCCATACTCCATCTATGTGTACCAGCTTAGCTTTTCTGTGTTTCTTTTTATTCAATAAGTAGGTAGATGCATATTGTTATTTCCTCTTCTTTGCTACTCAAAAGCCAACATACTACATGTTCTTTTTTGCACTTTGCTTTTTTCACTTATCATCTTCTGGAAAATCACCCCACACCTTTTGTAAATATCTTCCTCATTCTTTTTACAGATGCCTAATGCTCCATTGTATGTGTTTACCATAGTTTATTCAATTAAGTTTGGATATTTTCATAATTTCCAATATTTTATAACTATAAATAATTTTTCAGTGAATAACCTTGCATTTTTGTACTATTGGGCCTGTATCTTCAGCATAAATTCCTGAAAGTGCAATTCGCTGATTGAAAGATAAATGCACAGATAGTTTTTCTTATAGATTGCCAAGTTCTCTTCCACAGGGTTTCACTACTTTTCATTCCCAGATGCAATGCATGAGACTGTTTCCCACAGCCTTGCCAACAGTGTATTTTCAAATTTTTGAGATTTTGTCAGTATCGTAGGTATCTCAGTGCAGTTTTGCTTTTCCATTTTTCTCATAAAGTTGAATCTCTTTTCAGCTATTTAACAGTCTATTGTCTATTTGTATCTTCCGTAAATATTTTCTCTAAATTTTTATTTGTCCTTTGACTTTGCCTAGGGTACACTTTGTCATGCAAAATTTTTGTGTCTGTCAGTGAAATTTAACAATCTGTAATTTTGTTGCATCTGAATATTGAGTCAATTCACAAAGCATTTCTATATACACATATTATATAAAATATAACCTATGTTCATTCAGAACTTAAAAGTTTCATTGTTTACGTTTAATTCTCTCAAAATAATGTTTACACTATTCTTGCATATAATGTGAGTAATATATTTAATTGTATCTTATCCTAAATGACATTCTGTTATCCTAACAGCATTTATGTTTTTAAAAAAGATTTTTGACTATTTCAAGTCACTCCAGAAATGCTTTTGAAAAATCTAACTTAATTTTGCATGTTGCATTTTAATCTCATAAATAATAATAAATAATGAAAACACTTACTTATCAGTATGTTTCTTTAAATACTGGAATTGTTTTCCCAGTTACTTTAACAGTTTTCCAAAATATAAACTTATTTATGTGCAATACATTTATGTCAACCATGACTTCACTCAGCCAAACTACAAAGACTTTGTAGATCTAGGTGTTAGGTTTTCTACCCTCCAGTAAAGATCCACTTTAATATCATTCATTTACAGTGACTCATTGGAATCCTACTCCACAAAAGAAGATTAAATTAACCAGCAATATTTAGGGCAAACATCCATTATATAGCAGTTGGAAGCATTCACACACACACACACAAAATTACTTCAACTACAGCAATTGGAACAGGAATAGATTACCAACTGAGAGCCAAAGTTGGTTCTTTAACAAAAACTGCAGGTTTGCTCACAGCCCTTCACCACAATCTTCCAACAGTAGTGTGAGGATTTTAAAATCGAGTCTAATGCTGAGATCCATCAAAGACATTTGTCTTCTTTGTGGTTTATAAAAATGAAAACACTTTATGCAACACTCTGCTTGTTAACTAATGGTTGCCCCTCAAGATGACAACAATTCCCTGTAATGTAATAAAAATAAATATTCAGGCTATATTCCTTTTTCTTCACTTTATGTATTTTAATTTTGTCCCTCCCACCTTCAATAAGAAACAAATAAAGAATAATGGGGATTAGCAAATATTTTCTGTACAGAGCAACACAGTAAATATTCCAGGCTTTGCAAGCCAGGTGTCTTCTGTTGTAATTACTCAACTTTGAAACTGTAGCACAAAAGTGGCTATAGGTTGTCCTAAAAAATATGATTGAACTATTTGTCCTAAAAATGTTAAACATTCACTAATATTTACATCTTAGAATAGTTCCAGTGAAATTTATTAAGAAGCATAAATTCAAAAAATTTGCCCTAAAGTTGAGGTTTTAAAAGGAGTAGAGCTTCCCTAGTCACAAGCAGCATCTCATATTTGGTATCATATTGTTTTAATATATTAACTCTCACCTTCTGATCTCCTTTTTGAAAAAAAAAAGTGACATAACATGAACAAAAAATGGCTAGGGAAGTTTGAAGAATGAACGATTGTGATACTTCATATTAAGAACATGTCTTTAAAATGCTCAATACCTTTATCACATAATTACCATCTTACTGGCTTTTGCACTTAATGCACAATACAGGCATACATCAATATTGCAGGTTTGGTACCTGATGACTGCAATAAAGTGAATGTTGCAATAAAGCAAATCAGGCAATTTTTTTGGTTTTCCAGTGAATGTAAAAGTTATGTTTATGCTACGCTGTATAATACTGAACATGTAATAGCATTATGTTAAAAAATGTACATATCTTAATTTAAAAATCCTTTATTGCTAAAAAAAAAAAAATTGCTAATGATCATCTGAGTCTTCAGTGAGTCAGAATCTTTTTTCTGGTGGAGATTCCTGCCTCAATATTGATGGATGCTAACTTAATCAGGGCTGTGGTTGCTGCTACTTTGGGTGGCTGGGGGCCTTTCTTAAAATAAGACAACAGTGAAGTATGCCACATCAGCTGACACTTCCTTTCATGAAAAATTTCTCTCTAGTGTGTAGTGCTGCTTGATAACATTTTACCCACAGTAGAGCTTCTTTCAAAATTGGAGTCAATCTTCTCAAACTTTGCTGCTGCTTTATCAACTAAGTTTAAGTAATATTCTAATTTATTTCTGGTCATTTTAACCATGTTTGGTGCCATCACACAGAGGCAACAACTCAGTCATATCTCAGACCTCCACTTCTAGTCCTCGGCTACTTGCAAATCTATTTGCAATTACTTCCTCCCCTGAACTTTTGAACCCTCCAAAATCATTCATGGAGGCTGGAATCACATCTTCCCAAACTCCTTATTAATGTTGATATTTTCTACCATTCTGCCCATGAATCCACGACTGTCTAGTGACATCTAGATAAGATTTGCCTTTCCAGAAGCGTTTTCAAATTTACCTTTTTCCATGTCCTACCAGAAGGACACTATTGATGGCGGCTAACTAGCCTTACACAAACTTTTTTTTTTTTTTTTTTGTTTGAGACAAGAGTCTCCCTCCTGTCCCCCAAGGCGGAAGCAAGTAAAAGAATCCTCAGGCTACACAACAGTCTCAGCCTCCTGGGTCACAATTCCCCAGCCATCAAGCCGACTCCCTGAGTAGCTTGGGACACAGGGCATCGCACCCAACCATGCCCAGCCTAAATTTTGTATTTTAAGTAGAAGATGGACATCCCAACCATGTGGCCAGCCGATCTCGAAC